AGCAAAATAGGCCAAAATCTCAATTTTCTACTGCCTGAAAAAACAGTACTTTTGTCTGTAATGTCTTACCTTAAAGGAGACATATTATGCCTCTTTTTACAATATGTAATATAAGTCTCTGGTGTCCCCAGAATGTGTCTGTGAAGTTTCAGATCAAAATACCCCACCGTTCATTTATTATATCATTTTGAAAATGCCTATTTTGAGTGGAAGCAGAAACACGCTGTTTTTTGTGCCTGTCTCTTTGAACGCAAATGAGCTGCTGCTGCCCCCCTGCCCCCTTTTCCAGAATAGAGCTGCGTCATTACAGCTCATACCTGCTAAAAAAACATCTGTTTTGGTTCTGATTATCATGTTTATCGTGCTGAAATCATGCGTTTTAAACGATATTAGTTTAAACTTCTGATATACGGTTTCCTGAGAGCACACATCTGAAGCACACGGACAGAAAGCGGCTGTCACAGCATGCGAGTACTAAACTAAGTTCTCATTCACACACAAGTTTACGTTAAAAACACACATGAGTTAAAAAAAAAACAGTCGGTTATGTCTGTGACGGTAAACAGCTGGGAAATAAATTGCATGTTTATTTTAGATCTGTGTGGCAGCAGCAATATACAGTAATTAAATCAATAATTCCACTGCTCTCTTGTCACCTCTGAGGCTGGGACTCTAAATAGTGTTCTGTGCTCGTCCGTGCAGCTAAAGACAGAACAGTTAGCATGTTTTGCTCAAACTTTCACCATGGCATTAGATCTGGTTACACCATTGTCGCCTGTGAAATCAAATGACGGCGCCATGAGTGGAAGCTTATAGATTAAGGGGCGGTAATATTATAATGAGATCCCTTTGCCACGTCACCAAGGACGTGCTCGTTTTCTCAGACGCTTGCAGAAAAAGGCTTACCTAAACACCGGGGACCTGATTATAGTACTTAAAACCTGGAAAAGTCCGATTTTCATGATATGTCACCTTTAAATAATACGATAATATATATAAAAAAATATGATAATGTACACAATATTATCTGCTTCCATTATTAACCTTCTCAGGCTGATACCAACAGCTAAAAATGGCTACCAATGCTACCAATGGCTGAAAGCAATAAGAATACTGATCCTTTACTATTATAAACTTGATCATGAAACTTCAAACTGATGAAAGTGGGTTAGTCAGAGCGGTTGAATAGAAAATGCTTTGTGAGCCTGTCATTGCATGTGGAACCTGCATTGAGATCAGCAGATGGCATTTTTCAAATAATGGATGTTATTCCCTCCATTTTTATGTGGCTTCACAAAAACATACAAAATCTGAGTTCATAATTTGGTCTACAGTGCATTTTCACTCTATTTTCTGCTGAATTCAAATAGGCAAAGCACTTAACTATACTTGTAGTGTTGCTTCTGTGACGCTGCTATGCAGTCTCTCAGTGCTTATGAATGCACTCTGAATGAATACGGTAATGAATAGTGCAACGAACATAATGAATACTGTTGGCTGCTTAAATGCAAATGCAAGATACAGGTCTAAGTGCATTACATCCAACAAGCTGTCTAAAACAAGGTCAACAAGTCCGTCAAGCTGTTTTTGGAATGTGAAATGATGTTGATTGAGGCTGCAATGTTCTCTCTGGTTTGAGGAATTGGCTAATTTGGTGGGAATAAGAAAAAAAGAAATCAGATTAGATCGAAAAGCGCAGTGAGCAACCCGGAGAAACAACAGGTGGCAGTTCATAATTTGGTCTACAGTGCATTTTCACTCTATTTTCTGCTGAATTCAAATAGGCAAAGCACTTAACTATACTTGTAGTGTTGCTTCTGTGACGCTGCTATGCAGTCTCTCAGTGCTTATGAATGCAACTCTGAATGAATACGGTAATGAATAGTGCAACGAACATAATGAATACTGTTGGCTGCTTAAATGCAAATGCAAGATACAGGTCTAAGTGCATTACATCCAACAAGCTGTCTAAAACAAGGTCAACAAGTCCGTCAAGCTGTTTTTGGAATGTGAAATGATGTTGATTGAGGCTGCAATGTTCTCTCTGGTTTGAGGAATTGGCTAATTTGGTGGGAATAAGAAAAAAAGAAATCAGATTAGATCGAAAAGCGCAGTGAGCAACCCGGAGAAACAACAGGTGGCAGAAACTATGGCAGTTTTCCAGGGAGGGGATACATTGAGAGCCGTTTGATATCTTAAATAATCTGTAACGAGTTTGAAAATGACTTCTGTCCAAAAATAACCAGACAAACAAGGTGGTCGCTGTAACAACCCTGCAGCATATTTAAACAGCTTGAACCTTTCCCACGTCTGTTCTGTCATATAATTCTAAATATGAAGAGGAATTCTCAGTGGTGACAGAGACCAAAATTGACTGACGTCTGCCATGAAAGTCAAGCTGAAAAGAATATGAGACAGTTACTCAATATAAATTATTCACAGTACGGCAGTGACTAAGCAGAACCTGAGCCAGAGAGGAAGGGGGAGTTATGCATGAGAGTCCGGGGAGGAATTACAGAGATGTGGCACTGCTGTCTGCCAGCATAAGAGCCGGTAACTGTTACCAAACCCTAACAAACAGTATCACTATGCATAGTGTTAAGTAAATCCAGTGGTCATAAGCTTTCTGGGTCAGTGCTGCCTTGGCCTTTTTTAGTGCAATGCAGTCTTTAGTATATTTTTAAGAAAATCAATCAATCAATCAATCTGAATTATATAACTACATATACTATTTTTAACCACTGCACTATTACCTGAAGAGATGATGTGCCCATGAAAATTTTAACACTTTACTTAAAGCCTGAATATACTACACATTATGAAATTGATAGTTTTGGTCCTGGGTGCTGATTGGTCAGTACAGCATTCCAGTCGTACTAAAATACACAACATATTTACACCTACTGTATGACATGAAACCAGCTACTGTGTATCTCTGTGTAGCACTGAGAAAGGCCACTGTTACTGTATATCTTCTAGTGGAAGGATGACACTTCATGAATGTTCAAAGAAAATTTGCATCTGAAATCTTTTTTATTTAGCAACCACTTTATAAAAACATTAAGGTACTTGAGACTGCGTTGCATTGTAAATATATAGTAGTCATTCAGTTGTTTAGATTGAACTTTTGTACTTTATTTCTTATTTTTATAAAGGTATTGTTCATGTTTTACAAAAAGAAATGAAATGCTTTTCATAAAAAAATTAATAATGATATTTTTTATAAATAATTATAATTTAACACATTTATTATACTTAATAATACTTACCTATGCAAGGTTAAACCTATCAATATAATACATTATAAAACCGAACACGATTTATATCGAGGGGAATCGATCATGATTCCCACCGGCTGTATAACATTTGAACTTTTTTGTGCAAAATCACATTTTTCCACTCTGAGTGTAATGTGTTTTTTGTGCTGTGAATGGAATTTAATGTTATATGTGCAACTCTAATAAAATCCCTTGCTTCGGGTTTAATTACTGTAAGTCAAAATGGTCTCTTCATGTTTTTTCTGACTCTGCCTGGGTGTGGAGCCAGGCTTGTTTAGTGGAGCAATTCAACATGGCTTATCTGGATCTGTCTTTTCTTTATCAGGAAGAGTGTCTTCCTTTAAAACAGGGTCATTATACTCAGAGCATATTTCTGCCTACTTCTATGCTTACTCTGAAGAAAAAATGTCATGAATTTCGTTAATTCATCGCTGAAGATGTTACATCTTAGAAACAATCTCAGATGCTAATTCAACAAGACTGGGCATGTTATCTATCTCTTGAAAGTGAATAACTGAAACTCCGTTCCAAAACAAGTCTTCTAAGTCAGCATTCTATGCGAAATGGAATCTCATAAGTGACTGAGCTCATCTGTGTATGTCACATAAATATGGTGCACGCTGATGGCTGCCTCCGTGGCGTGCTCTGCAGTTGTTTTTATGTTTTTGTTAGTTTGTCCTGTCTTTAGTTATATCCCTGCAATCAGTTTCACCAGAGACGAATTGCTGGACATTCGGAAGTACACACCACCCGATATTTCACCGGTTTTCGACTATTCGGATGTTTTGCTGGACATTGTTGTCGGGGGAGCTGTGGCGCTGATCAATACTTGTTCTATTTTTCTATTTTTTATTATCTGTGTTTTTGTTCTGTCACTGTCATTCTGTTACACTGTGGAGCTTCTGTCATGAAAACAAATTCCTTGTATGTGTAAACATACCTGGCAATAAAAACTCATTCTGATTCTGATTCTGATTCTGATTCAAGTCATGTCAGAAATATCCTAAGTTGAATGTACATGAACAGCAACACAAAGTCGTAATTTGAACTGGGAAACTCTGAACTTTCTTTAGGCCTTTAGTACCTTCATAAATTGCATAAAAACCTAAAAAAGCAAAAACACACCTTATGTGCATTCCTAATTCATCATTTTGTAGAAGTAGAGTTAAAACTGGTGATTTTTTGGTAGAAAAGGTACATCACCATTTTGCTCCAACCAAAGTGACCTGAATTCACCCAACTCATAAAGACATCATAAATGCGTAAATAGTCTCTTCAAAAAGTGCACAGCATGTTATTTCAATGGAGTTTGGCATTAGCTTATTGCTAAGCTAAATATGTGATACTCTAATAAGCATTACATTCATAGCACACACAAAAATTGGGTAAAACTGTCAATTGTTAGTGATAGCTTAGACTATTCTAAACTATATTTTTTGGTATTAAATATTTATTGAATTGCCATTTTTCTTGCCTTATCCATCATCTTGGATGATTTTTTCCACTGAGCTTGTTGCTATTTATTATGGGATTGTTCTCTCCATGAAGGATGCATCTAATGCTGCCCTAGAATTTGGACAAACGAAGGTATGATGCCCTAAAATCCTACCTATGCAGGCATCTCACTAGATTTTGGAACAGATTGAGAGTTTTACTTTATATGCGATATCAAAAAGTTCTGAGTGTGATATACTATCTGAACAGATATGGGCAGGTGCTTACCGGAGCGTCTATCTTGATTAGAGCGATGTCTGCTTTCTCATCCACATCTTTGATTTTGGCTTCATAGGTGATGCCGGTCTTCAGCTCGACCATCACCCGGTGTTTGTTGGCTACCACATGGGCATTGGTTACAATCAGGCCATCTTCAGACACCACGAAACCAGAGCCGCTGGCAACCTCCACTTCCCGCTTGCTGAACATCATTCTAAAGAAGAAAAGGGAAGAGGTTTTTGAAGATTATTCTTTATGAGCAACCTTTTCATAATGCAGTAAGTCTACTTTCCACAGAGGAACAGCAAAGAATGATGGTTTCTCAACATCCTTGACGTGACTATATTTTCCAGCAAGATTTGAGACCAAGGAGGAACTTCTTCTGATTTGTGGAAAACATGACAGTTCGCCAGATTTTTATTTTTTTTTACATTTTGCACAATTTCAACAGCCTATAATTGAGGTTGGCTGTTTTCTACATCCCACAAACTGTGTCTTATGCAATGATATCATGATATTTAATTTAGATATTCAATCTATTAATATCTATATTCGAGTGTGAAAAAAAACATCCAGTCAGATACTTTAAAACAATGTTAATATTCTATAATTAGGATAAAGCTTAGTGGAATATGCCATAAAAAACATTTTTATGAAGCGCTTGACACTTAAACTCGCACAACATGATTTATCCATGAGAAACATGTTCCTGGAACAACATCCTTGTCAATTAATCATACATCAACCTCTCAACATTCTCCCAAAAATTTGAGAAATTATAAGCTGATAAGAATGTTGTTTTAGGGCCAATATGGATGCAATTTTGCTTACTTGGAAGTAATTCTATTCATATTGATGATAGAGGGCTAATAAAAGACAGAACAAGAGGAAATATCTATTTTGCCCAGTGTTGATTCATAAAGATGGCAGCGAAAGAGTACGAGAACAAAATTCAAGCTGATCCCGTTCATGTTCCAAAAGGGTGTTTTTGGGTTCCGTAAAAACTTTCAAAGAACCGTTTTTTTTTTTTAAAAGAACCTTTAATTTTCTTGTGTGAAGAACATTTTAATAATCTAAATAAACGTTTAAAGAACATTTGAAGAGTTTGGTTCCAAAGCGCGATAAAAAACGCCATTTAAAAAAAGAATTAATTTCCGCCAAAATCAGTATTGTATCTGGTCGGTATTGAAAAGTCAATTTTTTATTTTACGCAAAATGCGATATCCGCCGTGTTATTCTGTCATGTTTTCTCCCTTTCTTTCCAAACCCCGACAAATGCCAGTCTCCCTTCTCTGCAGAATGCGATACATTCGCTCAACCAATCACAGCACACCATTCCATGCATTGTAGACAGTAATGGCGGCGCTTTTCTAATTGTATAATTCTATGACTGAATTAGATTTGGTCAGACTGTTAGTAAGTTATGTATATATATATATATATATATATATATAGTTTTTTAATGCAGACTCTGTTACTATTTTCCTAAAGATATGTGTCCAGTGGCCTTGCAGGAACATGATATGGAATTGATTTAATTCCTAACATCAAGGTAAAAATAATTAAATTGTAAAGATTTATTTAATATTAACTAGCACAGTGAAAAAAGTTTAAACCATCACAGTGAGCAAATGTTTTAGCCTATAGCTTTTTTCAGTGCTCATCTAACAAACAGCAGTTCATCCATTTTTTAAGACACATTTTTACAAATTAAGACTGCTTAAAATACTATTAAATTTAGGATTTTTGGAACAATTAAACAATTAATTATTACATTATATCACTTAATGAACAACTGAACATGCAAGCATGCTGTAATACCAGAAACATTGTCATAGTATTTTTTACTGTGAATTTCTGGCAACCAGAGCTGCCATTTTTTTTCTACCGTAATTTAAAAGGATATTTTATAGAGTACTTACCAAAAAAAGTAAATAAATGGACATGAAATTTAAATTTGAACTGAAATTGCTTCATTATATAATAGAAACGAGAGATCAAGGTGCTGTGGAAAACATGAAACTAGCACAGCTATGTAGGAATGTCTTGCACGGAGACGACTGCCAGTTTTTAGTGTCGTTATACAAAAATATTTGACCACAGAATTCTATGATTGCTGAAATAGGACAAAACAGTTATTCTGGAGAATGTTTTTCATTAGAATTATTCCATAACCCACCAGAATAACCAATATTTCTTATAAAACAGCAAAATGAAAGAGACAAATATGGGTTTTTGGGAAAACTTGGCTAGAAAATGATACATCCTTAGTCAGAAAGTGCTTACAAAACTTGGATCCAAGTCAAAACCTTTTATAACTTTGCACATGTAACACTATCTTTTACCTTGTATAACCCTCCTTTCACAACATCTGCATGCAAGCATATCTTCCCTGCCCCCCTTGTTAGGTAGCGTGCTATTTTCTTCCCTAAGGGTCTGTGTACAGCTCTATGTATTCACTGTTTGAAATCCCCAGGTATAAACAGCACCTTGACCCAAAACACCAAAACGTTTATGACTTTTTTTTTTTTTTCTGGGAGGTGACATCTGTTAGAAATTAATTGCTTTTTTTCAGTTTGGGGAATTTCAAAACATGATATCACACATATGCCCTTCATGGATCATATGGGCGTACAACAATGAAAGTGTTTGGGCAAGACCCCTAGTCCTCTCATCACAGGGGCGTTGACACCATATAAGGGTGTTTCTTCAGCTATGTGCCCTTTTATGTCCCAGAAGTTGTTTTTTGTTAAAACTAACATATTTTAACATTTTCTACTGTATATGTGAGTAAAATAATCATGTAGAATTTGATGTTTATTGGCAATGTTTTTATATATTTTTTCACAAATTACCACGGCACCATTTTCCATCAAAAACAACAATTTTGAAACTAAAGTTTTTTTGTGTACATGTTTGTTCAAAAGTTAGTCAACTTTTCTACCTAGTATACAATAAGTTCAGTGAAGAGCTTGAGATGAAATACGAGGAATGTAATGCATGAAAAAGAAAAAAGAAAGACAAAACGACTGTGTATTTTGTACAGTATACAGTATGTGTATACAAATGTCTACTGTGTAATATCTTTGTCAAACTACACAAAATTATAGAAAATCTTTGATAATATTACAAGATTATGCTTAGGATGCATAAAATGCTAGCCAAGAAATGTGTCTTAGCAAGAAAAAGTAGTGAGCCATTTTATACTAAACATACTGTATTTAAAACGTAATTTCCACAACAGAATAATATAAATAATAATAAATGTTTTGACATGGTATATACTACGTGTCTCCATACAGTTGAAAAACAACTCAATGACTGTGAAATTTGACCTAGATCTGGATCCTCAGAGAATAAGTTTCTTAGATAATGTCCAGCCTCAAGAACTCCAGATGTAGATTACATCAAGTGATGGGAGATGTCTTGCTGTAATAGCTTTGACTGAGTACAAACAGAGTTTTGGCTGGAGATCTCAGATTAACTTTTCAGCAGAGCTCGGGTGCACGAACACACGCGCCGTATAAGGCTATTTTTGGCCAGTCAAACGGTGCCCGGAACAAAAGTGAGGTGATAACGTAATGAGCCAAAGGGAATACGCAGAAAGCCGGGTTATGTGGATTTGTGCAGACAGTGCCAGGCTTGATTTGGAAATCATTACGTCCATTGGCATAAAGGTCTGGTAATGCCTAATTAATCACATTGAATGAGGTGTGTTCAGTGTGTTCAGAAGAACAAAAATGTTAAGTACATTAAAGATCTGTTACAAAACCTGCTGCCTGATGCCTACACTATTTCAACCAATGACCAATTAAAATCTCAGGGAGGTGGGTCCAATTGTGCTGTCAGAGATTTAATTTGCCATTTTCCTCCTTGATTTCAAACTGCCACGGCACTTTTCACAAACTCAGAATGCATCAGAGCTTTCTTTAATTTGTTGTTACCTTTAGAAACTGACCGAAATGGTCTTAGATGGTAGCATCCCGTTATTGCCTACCTTTTAAATGTTTCAAAATGCTGTGTAGGCATTGTGCTAAGGACACTGATTGCATTTTTGCTTTGTGCGCACTTTTTGAAACATGCAGTGATTGAAATATCTCCATTTCATTTATGCACTGAGCACCTCCTGATGGGCTCCATGCCTTTGTTGCACTTTGATGGATTTAAGGAGACCACTGTCTCTCTTAAAACTTTTCTCTCTTACTTTTCCTCCTGCAGTTCCAAGAGAATCTGGATGGACTACGGCTGACTCCTCTTGTAGGGAAGGGTGTGTGGTTTTGTTTTTGCACCTTATTCCAGAACGTGTCCAGTGTCAAGCATAAATCCTGTTAATGGGGCTGCAGACGAACTGGCAACATCTAATAAGCTTAAGAAGGAGCCTGTTTAAGTCACACAATATCAGATCCCGAGTATATTCTGCCAGCGCTTTAATTCTTTGATTAGGAGAATGTAAAATTCCACCATTTTCAAAATTATTTAGAAGAGGAAATATCAACCATCAATGTTTAATACATTTAAATGTATTAGTATATTTTAAGAGAGTGTATGTTTGGATAAAGAGATAGAAGCATTAGGGTATGTCAGACACATTTTTAGACTGCACTGAATGGAGTGAATTTGATATTCTGTCTGAATTGCTCTTGTGTGCTTTGACTGTGAAGCTTTGCTTTTTCAGCAGACTGCATCATAAAACTAAATATGATCCATTGTGATTTATAGTGCACTTATTACAAGAAAAGTGAAGAATATTTTTCAGTTTCTCAAACAACTTTTTATTCTTCAGTTTCTCAAAAAAACTGAGAAACTGAGTTCCCCCCCCCCCCAAAAAAAACCATAAATACACCCAAGAATAAAGCTGTTTTTAAGAGTGAAGTTCACAATGTTGACAGGCCAAGCTTGGGTACGTACTGAATTAGATTAACTGAGTTAGGAGGCTCACTATGTTTTGACATAATGATGGTCCAAAATGTTGTAGGCAGCTTATAGGTCTGGAAATCATGACAACCCCTAGATAATATCAAAAGGTTTTGAGACTCCAATGCCCCCAAACTATGCCCCCCATCCATACTCTTAAATATAATAAAGGGTACATTTCCCAGGAACCATTTTTGTTTCCCCAGAGAACCTTTCAATGAACAGCTCTTAAAAATACTCTTTTTATTAGTGTGAAGAACATTTAAACATTTCAAAGGAACTTTTTAAAAGTGCAGGCAGCACACCAGGTTTGGAGCGCCAGTCTTACCTTTCCCGCAGGCTCCTCTCTGGATGAAGATGATGGGCGGCTGCTGGAGTTTCTGTGCCCGGTTACTGACTCTCTTGAGTTCGCAGATGTTCCTGTAAGACTGCCCATCACTGCCGCAGACGGCCTCAGGGCTCTTACACACGCACACGCCGGTCTTTCCTCTCCTCCTCACGGTCGTCGTTGGTTCGACCCCCTCCGACACAGCGCAGTCCAGACCCTCTCCACACTCCGGGTCTCCCAGTTTCCCTGTACCGCCGCAGGGCTCACCCTCGCCGGCCGCGCACACCGTGCAGCAGTCGCACTGGTCCAGGATGTCTCCGGCCAGACAGTCGGCCGGTATGGGCGGACACAGACTCTTATCGCAGCGCTCCGGACAACCGATCACATAACGCTTAGAGATCCGCGCATCACACAGCAAAGGCACCAGAATAACAGACGCGCATAGAACCCACAGATGCATTTTAATATTAATCTGCAACGTTAATAACAAACCTTTCAAGTGAAATCTCTTCAAGTAACTTAAGTCGTAGAATACGTCACCGGACGAATAAAAATATAATGCATGTAAACTTGACAGAATGTATTGTGCTGTCAAATGCCCGTTATTTTGCCCTTCAGTGACAGACTTTATAAAGCTTGGGGTATAAACAGCAACGCCGATTGGTTGGATGTGCATGACGTTAACTATGTGGGTGGGACGGGGCGCGATGGTAAACAATGAGGCCACGCCTCAAGCATGTGTCTAAATATTGTGGTAACAAATCCCATACACACCTTTTATTTAACTTCACAAAATTATTTAACATCACCGAATGAATCTAAATATATTAATTTAGCAAAACTCATTTTTATGGGTTAATTCAGGTAGAAATAGCTCTTAAATGTAAAAATTGCATGTTATGATTATGGATTAATTGATGGAGAAATAGCTCTTTAAGGTAACAATTGCAGATTATAATTTTTACAGTGTATATACAATTTTTTGTTACTATTTGAGTCCTAGAGAGTGACATGAAATCCTGATGTTCATAGTTTTATTGTCTAAAAAAAACCCACAAAGATATATAAAGTGACATTATATAGTGTAGATACAGTATATAGTGTATATAGAATAGTATAGTGATACATATGTATGTGATATAGATGTATAAAGGGGTCTTTATCTGTGAAAATATAGCTGCCTTTATTTGTTAGAAGGACCCTTATAAACTGATCATCGTTTTTTAAGTCCCTGGAATCAAATGCTTTCAGAAATCCTTGAACTTAATAATAAACATACATTTGAACTAAGTAACATTTTAAGTATTTTTCGTGAAGGTTGGGGGAAGTTTACACATGTGTTTGTTCATTTCAATTTCAATTTTCTTTGTGGCATGGCAGTATAAATTAGCATAGATTTATCAACACTTAACTTGTTATCTAAGATACTTTTTATCAAGCACATTTACAAGTGCTGGACATTCTACACGGGCCACAAATCTGTAAGATAGCTAGAGTTGTTGTGGACATAATTGGAGGTACATTCAGTTCTAAATGTCTGTTATGGTGTGCATATGGTGTAATGCGTATTAATTGACCTACTAAAAAAAACGTTAAAAAGTATATCCAAAAGCCAAACATTGATCCAAGCTCATGAACTTGTGTTCAGCATTGTGGTCAAATGTAGTACTTGATGAATTTTTAGATGAGCCTGTCAGAGAGTTGCAGGTCCAAGCTGTCCTCCCATGCAGCTCTCTGAAGGGAGTTGCTCCAGCATTATGGGAGTGGATCTCCTTATGCTCACTGATCCTAGGCAACACGTTGCTTTTCTCAATATTTGTGCCTCACGCATATCTCAATATTCTGGAACTTGAAGCAATGACTTCTTCACGGGGCCAAACATATGAAATGAATACGATTCAAACATGTCTGATTAGAGGAATTTGCTAAGGTTATTACATTACAATCATACTTAATGATCTGTAATCTTTTGTTTTGCATTACATTCTCTAGAGCTGGGCACTGTAATTCTAAAAGTCTCACTTGATCAAGCTTAGGTAATCACAATTTGTAATTATGTGTCTAGAAAAGAAGGAGAAAGCTATGGGTGAAATGCCTTCTTACTGAACTATAGGAACTATAGAACTATAGAAAATGAAATTAATAATTTTAAACATGAAACGAAAACAGACAGTAGCTGACAGTTAGTCACTGTCTTAATGACTGGATCACTGAATCTGTCTTTCAACCAATTTGTTCAAATTGTCTGATTAGTTCAGGAAAGAAGCATTTTCATGAATGGGTCACTCAATAATTCACTCCACCTATTCCTTCAGCAACTGGGATCATTCATTAATTTAACAAAACACTAAAATGTGTTGCTCAGAGCAGAGCAACGGTTTCACTTTGGCTATTGTTGGCAAAATATTGTCAATATTAGGTCACTTAATATTAACGTCTCTGTTGCATAAAATCAGTGTCACATTTGGAATCATGCTGATATTTGAGAAAAACAGCACTCTAGCTCATGTGAAATTACTATATCATATGCTATAAATACAAATTTATAGACCTTATGTGTCAGAGAAACAAGTGTGCAGCCATCTTTAAAATTTTGTCTTTTAACTTAAGTTTTTTGCGGTAGCTCTTTTGCATCACTGTTGAAGCTGGTGAAGGGGGTTTACTAATGGTGCGTTCAAGTCTTGTCGGATCGATCGTATTTACAAGTTGAATGCACATAAACGCCACCACAAAGTCGTTATTAAGAGTGAGAAACTCGAAATTTTCTTTAAGCCCCGAGTTCAGAGTTGGGGGCTTGTCAATGAGAAACATGGCAGAATCGATGGATGCAATGCGTGTGTAGTTGACGGTAAATATTTGTTTAAATTAATAGTTTAGTTGTCCTATAAACTTAAATTGGTCATGTTCTTGTTACGCAAGCTGAAATCCAAGTAAAAAAATGCAGACCCTGTTATATTTTCTTGTAATTTATTAAAAGAAGGTACACGCCATCTTGTGCCGACTAAACTGACAAGAACGCACCTGACGTCGTAATTACGACTCGTCAACTCGTAAGTACGAATGTCCCAGGAGGACTTGAACGCAGCATTATTGTAGCATTAACAAAAGTTATCATGTGCATTGTAAAATTTAAAGCAGATGTCATATCAAATGTCAGTAAACCTGGAAGATTTTAAAAAGAGCATTTCATGCATAAATTCGTACAACCTTAGCTTCATGCTGTGGAAACGGAAGACAGAAGACAACGAGCCCGGCGCTGAAAAGGGCCTGTATTCTGGGGTGATGTTTATTAATTTTGGTGGAATTTTTGCGCAAGCCCTGTTCATTTCGGATCTTGCAGCAACTGTGCAGAATTTCCTAGAACTTTGACGATGATTTCGCATTGACAAGCACCGCTCGCATTTTCATCACAAACTTGGATATCATTCTTATTGGTGGCACCTTTACTGTGAAAATCTTTGTTGGTTGAAGTTACTGTTACCAGCGTCACCTCACTAAGGGTGTATTTTAAAAGGAGATCAGGGGTGGCAAATCTGGGAATGATATGATGATTTCATCTGATTGTATAAATTCCAGAAATACGCTTTTCACGGAACATTACTGTTACGGAAGAGGTTTGACAGGTTAGTTTTATACAAAACAGTTTATTTGGTCACAGTGAGTACTGGTGTTGAGTCCGGAGGAAGTGAGGGTGAGGGAAAGGTCCGTGAGAGAGTGCAGAGGATATGGAGAGTGGAGTAATCCGAGTCTTTTGCTTGATTGAGGCTGGAAGCGATCCGGGAACTAGGAGATACAGGAGACACTTGGAGATACAGGAGACACTTGGAGATACAGGAGACACTTGGAGATACAGGAGACACTTGGAGATACAGGAGACACTTGGAGGAACACAGGAGGTAAGTAATGCAAGAAGTATTCAAAGATAATCAGTAGCAAAGTCACTGAGTCCTCTACGTGTATACGAGACCTGACAGTGAGGGTGTCTGAGGTGTGTGCTTTTATGCAGGCTGGTAATGAGGTGCTTGATTGGTGACAGGTGCGGGTGCTCAGAACTCAGGTGAGAGGGATCGTTGTGATTGGGTGGTGGCGGAGCCTGGCCGATCTGTTACAATTACAGCACAGCAACTGGATTAAATCTAATTAGCAATAACACTTTGTCAAGGTATGCCAAAACATTAAAATAAAAAAAAGCACTTGTATAACACGATTCTGCAATGTGTGACTTGCATTGTAATAAAGGCAGTACTTTTTTGTGCTCAGTGTAACAGGACTTTACATATGGCTGAGGTCCCTCTACAAAGTAGGTTCATGGGATTTTTTTGGCTGCTGTATCATTTACCAGGTTGTTACGGAACTGCTCAGAGACTGAGTGAGGATCCAAATGCAGTGCTTATTAGGAAAGTCCAGAATCAAAATCAGACAGCAGGCAAGGGTCAACACACAGGCAATCAGTCCAACTAAACAAGGCAGAGAACACAGGCAGAGTCCAAAAACCAAGATACATAGAAACAGGAGAAACGCTCAGAGATGCAGTGTAACACTTACAAGACTTCACAAAGAAAGTCAAACTAAACCAGACTTATATAGGGTGAGCAGACAGGGTAAATGAGACACAGGTACAAAGAGTGAGTGTTGATGAGTCCGGGCAAAGGATTATGGGAAATTAAGTTTTTGATGGAGTGGTAAAGTCAGGGATGGGGTGCCCTCTAGCGAAGCTCACGGGCACTCCAGCTAGAGATCATGACACAGGTGAAAGGCCAATCACTGAGGAAATCAAAAGCACATTTGAAGAATCATTTTATGTTTGTAGCATAAATGGTTTCTAGACGCGTTACATGTAGATTCTGCATTTCAGGTTCACCATTTATTTGATAAAAATACAGTAAAGCAGTGAAATATTATTAAAATGTAAAATCACTGTTTTCTATGTTAATATATTTTTAAACGTCATTTAATCCTGTGACGGCAAAGCTTTCAGCAGCTATTTCTCCAGTCTTCAGTGTCACATGATCCATCAGAAATCTGCTGATTTGGTGCTTAGGGGTGTTGAAAACAATTGTGCTGTTTAATAATTTTTTTGTGGAAATTGTAATATTTTTGTATATTCTTTAATGAATAAGAAGAGCATGTTCAAAAGATTTGTTTGGTAACAGAAATCATTTGTAACATTATAAATATCTTTGTTGTAATTTTTGGTCAATTTAATGTGTCCTTGCTGAATAAAAGTTTCTTTCTATTAAAAACAGTTTGAATGGTAGTAATTGTTTTATCACTGAGAAAACACTGATGACACAAAACACACCGATGAGATGCACACAAAAACAGAGTCTGAGGTTTATAAGTAGAAAAACAGATGCAGACAAAATATAAAAATAAAAGGCAGCTT